GAACTTTTAATAATAAAAGAGAATATTTCCGAGTAGATTTCTGCGAAAAAAAAATTCTTATGGACAGCGCCCGGGAGGGTGCGATTTTCGTCAATACATGGTTTGGCGCCCAGAGTTCCAGAGCGGGTATTTAACACTTGGAACCCTTTAATCTGGCGTCCTACATAGCGGGTAAGGGGTACTACTATATTCAGCCTGCTATGGCGCCTACGTTCCTTTTTTAAAAAAAGGCTATATACTAAAGACACGATGGACAACAGTAATCGTTGACTTAATCGAATCAAACACGCCCTCCGGCGCATTTGGCGCCCCGGGCCTACCCGTGAGCACCATGGCGCCTACGTTCATTTTCGATACAATGGGTGAGCGACTATAGCAACCCATTGTATCGAAAATGAACGTAGGCGCCATGGTGCTCACGGGTAGGCCCGGGGCGCCAAATGCGCCGGAGGGCGTGCTTGATTCGATTAAGTCAACGATTACTGTTGTCCATCGTGTCTTTAGTATATAGCCTTTTTTTAAAAAAGGAACGTAGGCGCCATAGCAGGCTGAATATAGTAGTACCCCTTACCCGCTATGTAGGACGCCAGATTAAAGGGTTCCAAGTGTTAAATACCCGCTCTGGAACTCTGGGCGCCAAACCATGTATTGACGAAAATCGCACCCTCCCGGGCGCTGTCCATAAGAATTTTTTTTTCGCAGAAATCTACTCGGAAATATTCTCTTTTATTATTAAAAGTTCCATGACGATCGGATGAACGGTATCAATCCGCAATCGACTTTTATTTTTATAAACCGAATCGTGCCGGCCGGGGGCGCCACCCCTGCAAATTTGTTTTTGCAGATACCTCCCCAGGAATATTCTCAACAACTTTTCAAAGTTTCATGGCGATCGGATAAAAGGTGTAGTAATGTTTAAAAGACAATAAGACACACACAAACACACACACCTATATATATATATATATATATATATATATATATATATATATATATATATACCTAATACCTAATACCTAATCAAAGATAATAATATTGAAGTTAGTGGCTCTTTAAAGGTGGGAGATCTTGTAAATTGTAATTTTTGGCTAGACGCATGGGGCAGATGAAGATGTAAGGACTTTAGTGTGGTCAGCACTATGCCCAGCTGCCTGACGTGAGAGGTTACTCATCAGACAGAATTCACACATGTAAATGTCATTTCCTCTAGTCCTAACTTAAATCTTGCACTGCTTATGTAATTACAGAATCACAAGTGTAAACGTTGTTCTTCCTACTTCTAATTTCACTTGTACTGCTAGGTAATCTCAAAATAAAAAAACGTAACTGTCATCGTCTAGTTCTAACTTTATTACTTGCACTGCAATGTAATCTCAGAATCACAAGGGTAAATGTTATCATCACTAGTTCTGATTCCACTAAGCAAACACGGTTTAAATCCTTCTATGAATACTCATCAGTACTCACAACAATCTAGCTTGACACTCACGCGGCATGGAGATTTCCAGCCACCGAAATAAAACATTTGGCCACTGGTACAAACATCGGGCCACAAAGATAATGGCCACTGGAACGAAGAACATATCTACACGGCAGACGTTTGGCCACTGGTACACATTGGCCACGTGTATAAACAGGTCACACATGTAAATATCTGGAACGAAGCACATATGTACAGCAACAAAACATCGGCTGGGCCAAAAATCCAGCCTTAGTGGTCGGCCATAAGGCTGCCACCATCCGAGGGCTAGACAATCGTGTCTAGCCTCCGATACGTGAGTAGGAGAGAGAGAGAGAGAGAGAGCCCTCAACATAGTCGCCCTTCCTCATATATAGGCTAGTCGTGCCCCCAATTCATCCCCCAAGAGCTATAGAACCCGAGTTGGGCTCCGTACCATCCCTCGACGTTCAAGATAACACCGGTCACTATGCACCCATGCGTTGCACACCCGATAATTGACCGCTATAGATCTTCACGTTGTCTCAGGGCTAACGATCGTGTCATACACCGCTCGAGCTAACGTACGGCCACGCGGTACTCCCGCCGCGTTTCACACCTGACAACTGACCACAACAGAGATCATGAGTAATGATTCTACCGGGATGTCCAGCGGCATGTCCGAATTCAACTTTAGACATAAATCACCGCGGGTGTCTTCCCATCATTACGTGTCACTCGTGCACCTGCTTAGAGCTCGTAACCCTTAAACGACCAGAGTGAGCCGATAACATTTTAATTAAATTTTAGATTTCCCCTGGCCTGCTATCCCCAATATCTTAGATTAACCCCTTGGGTTTCCGTAACTAGTCCTAGTCACCTTAGCCCCTTTAATAAGCACCAAGTTACTATTTTACTTAAAAATAAACATTATAGAACCAGCCAACATGCTTACTTAAGAATCAACAATTTGGTACCAGCCAACACTTATATAAAACAACAGGGGACGGGAACTCGGGATATCGTTATGATTTTTTATCCATTTTAAATACTTAAACTTTTTTAAATAGAATAGAATCTAAAAAAAAAAAAAAGAATTGCGCACCAAGCGAATGCCGAAAAAAGATGTGTATAATAGTGCAAAATATTATTAGTACTTTATAAATTCAAGTGCGTTTTTGAGAAATCGGAAATAGCGTAAATTAGTACTTCTGATCAACGGAAATTACTCAAAATTTGACAGAAGGCAGAGAATTAGATCTTTTACTTACATGTAAAATTTCATTTATCTATCTGAAATAGTACTCAAGTTATAGGCTTTTGAAAAATTCAAAGTAGAAAAAGTACCACTTTCGTTTATCGGAAATCGCTCAAAAGTTGATCAGTATCTACGATTTTGATAAAATACTTATATATGAAATTTCATCAACCTAGCGTTAACGGTACTCAAGTTATCGTGTTTACACGTTAGGAACGGAACATGGTGTTCTAAAACAACTGTATGCTAGTAGTGAGTTTTCAATACTTTACGAAAAACTTCTGTTATTGTCGTCAGTTGGCACTGAGGAAAAACTACTATGAACTATCGCATCTTCACAATGATTGACCGGCGGCAAAGGCTACACTCGCTGCAATTGCACAACCAAGTGCACAACAAATCGCTGCAAGTGTAAAAAAAAAAAGCTACTATGTAATTCTAAATGCCATAAAAGTTCAACTTGTTGTAACAAGTGATAATATTGATTGATTGAGACTATAATACAATAAAAAATTGAATGTTCCTGTTATTTACTTTAATGAATAATGAATAAAGACTTAATTTCATGATCCTTACGGTATAAAAAAAATCTCAAAATCTGCTCATGATCGTCCTCGGACTTTGGGCGGTCGTCCCTAGCCAGATGATCTTCTAATTCAGACTTTGGCCCGTCCACCATGGCCAGTCCGCGGATTGGCCGTCCAAAAGGCCGAAATCAAGCAAAATTTCGGACTTTGACCGGTCAATGGGATGCGCTATTGGAAAAAGGGTGACCACCCTGGGGACTGTTGACCCATAATGGTGAATACACCAAGTTTAGTATTTAAACTTATCAGTTCATTGTCAATCACGAATTGTGCCCTTTCGGCAACAGTTGAACAAACAGGCAAACATTCCTTCCCTAAGGGTGCAGTAACTAAAACTGCTTCTTGTAAATTCTCTCGAATTTTTTCAACTATGTCATGCAGGCGGAATGACGGTATGCTCCTCCCTATACAGATGAACAAGATCATCCTTAAGCAGCCAATTTCCTATTAGCCTTCGTCCTCTGTAAGTTTCTGTGACGTAGAACAGTAAGTAGTTCTTACCTCAAGAATAGTTGTATCCAAATGATGTAGGCATTTCCTTGTGCTTATATTTATATGGTAAGAAAAAAAAAGAAAAAAATCGTAGGCGGCGGCTATAATACACAATTTCTATGCAACAATAGAAAATTATGTTTGCGGCGGCAGCAGATCCGGGCACGGTGATCTTCAAAGACGGTAAATCAGGCGGCCTCGTCGTCAGTGTTTCTTCCAGGCTTTTTTCTCCGGGGGGGAGGGGGGGGGCCGGTAGACTTTCTTCGGGGGGGGGGGGGGGGGGAGGGGGGCGGACACTGTTAAAAGTATATATTTTCTATATAAATTATATAAATTTCATTTCATTCGGGGGGGGGGGGGGGGGGGGGCGGTAAAAAAAATTCGGGGGGGGGGGGGGGAAGTTGATCTATCGTCGGCGGTATTTCCGTCGGTTTCGAACAAGGTGGTATGCTAAGTCGACACAAACAGAGTTTCTTCCAGGCATCTCTTCGGGGGACGAAGCCCCCCCCCCCCCCGAACGAAATGAAATTTATACAATTTATATAGAAAATATATACTTTTAACTGTGTCCGCCCCCCCCCCCCCCCCCCCCCCGAAGAAAGTTTACCGCCCCTCCGAAGATTTCGAGTGCCCCCCCCCCCCCCCCGGAGAAAAAAAGTCTGGAAGAAACACTGGACACAAAAGATGGGGGGAGTTGACAAATCATCAGTATGTCTAGCGAAGGAAAAATAGGAAGTTTTAACAATGTAAACGAAACGTCTTTGAAGTCTGGACCAAATACCACTGAAAATCGGGTGCGGTAAATTTTTCGCAGAAATCTTCGCATTTCAACACCACCCAGCGTAAGTATCGGGTTGTGGTAAAATGCGAGACAAAAAGTCACGTGACCGACCGTTTTCGCGCCCTTCTCGCATTTTCCCGCCTCGCCATTACGCTTTTCGCGTCTCGCAATTTCCCCACACCCAGGCCCACGTATTCCTATTTTAACGCCGGTTCTGATCTTATGAATTGTTTGCAAGTTTTTTAAACACATTTTCTCTGTTACCCTTGTCACAAATTTCCGTTAAGTTAAGCTTCTAAAAATATTCCAGATCAAACCGCTCTACTGCGCATTTGCTGACACAAAAAGTGCACAGCGGACACTGAAAATAGTCCCACTCCCCATGTCCAGGTAGCCTAACCAGTTTACCTGAAGTTTTACTGTCGCCAGGTGAAAATAGTTCTTAAAATAATTTGAACAGCCATATTGCGGAAGTAATGTTTGTGCGTGTATTTTATAAGTCTTTATTTACATGGCGAATTTGGTAATACAATAATATCATCATGCTCTTTTTTATTTAGAGAGTTTATACATTAATCTTCAATTGTAGGCTCAATTAGATCTAGATAAGTAAGTACTAAGCAAAGCTTTGTCACCACTTTGTGTTAAGTGTTAATATTAACTTAGGCCTACTACATCACTACATCTTATTAATCTTAATAGACTATTCTCTATAGTCTATAGGGCCTACTATTATTAATTAGGTCTAACTAGACTACTTAATTTAACTTAATTAGGGCCTAATAAGTAATAGGCCTAGCCTAGTAACTAGGCCTAAATAGTAAATACTAGTTACACCATATTATTAGGCCTAATAAATTAGTCTAAGTCTATAGGACTATATAGGGCGCTAGTGTAATTTGGGGGAATTTTTGGTAATATATCGTTTTAGGTAGGCTACATAGAATCTACTAGATCTACATAAAATCGCCTGCGGCTGGTAATGTATGAAAAAGTTACCTCATTGTCAAGGCTTTAATAGAAGTAGGTAGGCCTATATTGTGATATATTTGTGTTGAAAGCCGTTAAGAGCCATGTGGCATTAAGCCCCAATCAACACCCCACCCCCACAAAACCCCCAATAACACTGCTAATCTACTTCTGAGGTAACAACCGCTGCTGTTCTTTGATAACAGAGAAGCAGAGGATTCATTTTATGTAATTTATGACCCACTTGGTCCAATAGGGAGAGGATGAGACAGGATTTAATCCCACTGCTCTTTCCCTAAATATTTCTCATCTCCATAAAACCATTTTGTGAACTTTTTTTCCAAATAGACATAACTTGGGAAACTTCACTTTGTAATGAACCAAATGAGTTTTTCAAGCCCATTCTTTGTTCCTGTATTAGAGCATTGGTTGTTGTACATTTTAACACTATTTTTATAGCTATGGAATGGCTAGAATAGTTTTATTTTGGTGAATTTGGTGAAACATTTTTGTATTTTTAAAATTTAAGGAGTCACCTGTTTTTCACATTACTAGTCGTGGACGATTTTACTCCCACATTTATCATGCTCATTACATAACAAAGCATAGGATCAAAACAGAAAGCGATATGGTACAAAGGCTGTCATTGATGCAAAACGTCAACAACACAATATGGATGGACAAGGCCGACTAATAAAACAACATGCAAAACACAATGATGTGCTTAGATTTCATTTATAAACTTATAATAGCATTTCTAGATCACATTTAACTAAATTCATTACAAAAGTTGAGGTTGCTGTGTAAATTAGATAACAGTATATTTACTTATTATAAGTGTTATAAACAATAATGCTTTTATCGTTTAAAAATATGCTACAAAAAAAACAACAAAAAAACCCACATCAATATACACCCAACGCTTAACAATTCTCAACAATTAAAATCAAAATATTTATTAAAGTATTATTGTGACTTTTTTCCAAAAAAATTTTTCCTTTGTGACTTTTTTCGGTGAATTTTTTCCTAGCAAAGATTGTGACTTTTTTCTGTGTATTTTTTTTTCCTGTGACTTTTTTTCTGTTCACCTCAAATACACGACGGGCTAAATAGGAGGGCATAGTTAGCTGTTGTCTCGATCAAGTTATTTTTTAAAGGTTTTATTTTACCCTGCATGATCTTTAAAACATTAATGACATTAGTTTAATAGAAAGCAAGTTATAATTTTTCTATAGTTTAGTATATATTTTCAGTATCTTTAGAACAACATTAAATAAAGCAATTCACGTTTTGCTTACATTTATTATGTTCTGCTCAATATCCTCAACGATTAGACCAAAAAAATGTACGAATGGCAAGTTAGCAGTAAACGCTAATCGTCCATTGTTAAAACTAGACCGGTATCGTTGAATAATACGTAAATATAAAGATTTTAAGTATACATTTCTGAAATGACAATGAAACATTGTTAAAAAACGGAATCGCGTTATTGTCGTTTTCGGCAGCCTTCATTACCATGATGACAGTAAAAAAAAGTAGGTCAAGCGACAACCTATCCTTTTCCCTACCTCTTCCCCTATTTCATTTTATCTTTCGCTATCATTATATCACTTACCTGTACCTACACACATCTGTACCTATTCCTAATTCTCAACCTATCCCTACTCATAACTCTAAATATAGGATGGGTTTATTGATAGGGGATAATGTCCTGCTGTTGTTTTTGTATCATTGCTGGGGCACAAAATGGACTATGCATCAACATCACTGTTTTTACAGGAAAAAAAACATTAAAATTTTATTTTCACACAAAAGCAAAAATATAATTATGAATATTAACTGCAAATCAGATTGACTTCTGGTGTTGGACCCTGACTACCATCAAGCTCTGTTATACATAGAATTAACACTACTGAGAAGGGGGAGGGCTTTATGTAAATTGTATTGTTTCTAAAACCTAGCAATGAAATAATCACTTTTTTCCAGTTTTACCCTCTGAAAATTAGAAAATGTTGAAACTACTAGATCAATTCTTCACTGCAAGTTTTATGTTCCTTTTGTTTCCATTGACAAATGCCCAGACTCAGAGTGAGTTATTAAATTTTTTTCTAGTTATTGCTTTATTAAATCAAATAGTAAATAAATTAAAGCAAGGCTAAATGTCATAAGTAGTTTACCGTTTACCATAATTTTTAACATGGTTTCTTTATCTGGAGCTAACATTAGTCTTCTTCTTGTTTTAATTTGTAGCTTGTCCTGCTGATAATGGATGGCTAAAGTATAATACAAAATGCTATAAGTTTGTGGCCTTTCCTCGCTTGGAACAGCAATCAGCTAGCACAACATGTCAAACAGATGGAGCCACTCTTGTGAGTGTTAATACACAAGACGAACATATTTTTATTGCATCCTGGCTTCGTTCCAATGATCAGAGACGGTAAATTTCTAATCTTCCACTCATTTAAAATTATTAGACCTAGTTTTTACACAATTATTATGAAGTGACTAGGCAGGATGCTTTTTCACTCCCCCTCAATGTTTTTATTCTGTACTTTCCTAAAATTTTAGATATTGAGATTTCTTGAAGAAAGTTATCTCATGTGTTGCAAGCAATATGATTTCCATCATTTAGTGCCTAAGCTACCTTATTTTACTTTGTTAATTTTATATATATATAGTACACACATTTAATTGTCATCAATTAAAAAATTGAGTAACTGCAAATGTTTGCTACATGATGTTATCTACCTAGTTGTTTTTTATTTGCTTAATTAAAAAAAATGAATTCTGTAATACATCCCCCTCCCTATATTTAAACCATTTTCATCATCCACTCTTGAAATTTTAACAAATAATAAAATGTTTGAAAGAAACCCTTTTGACGCACATAGTAAAGCCAGATCATCAGCTATGTTTCAGTCTATCAAGTTACATGTCGTTGATTTGTTTTCATGACCCAGTCTATTACAATCAAAAAGAGGACAATTTAACCTTGAACCCTACGGAAGTACGCTTTGCTGACTTTTATGGCCCACACAGCATTGGTTATCGTCATACATATTCTCAAGTTTTTTTTCCTGGCTCTAATACTGCCTTATTGATTGATGTGGATGATTTCAAACGCTTTATAGGCAAAATAAATTGTGTATTTATGGGCCCTGAAGCCAGGCTGCTCTGCACATGGATTCCATCTATTCCTTTTCACATCAATTTTTTCTTGCATGAAAGAATGTTTATGCCTTTCTAGTTTTGTATATATATATATTATTACGTTCCCCTTCTCTAATCCTTTCCAACTAGTCAGGGAATCATAAACAAAATGTGGAACACAAAGAGAAAATATACAGCTATCTACAACAAATAAAGTCCTTAGTTTGACTAATCTACTTTTCCCTAACGGTCTATCCTAGCCTATTTCTACTATACTACAGACATCTTGTGGCTTGCCACCAGCCCACAGAGACGTCCATTGTGTCTCCTCACCCTAACTACCCGAGTGTGTCTCCCCATGTGTGTGTGTCTACCCCTATTTGCTGTCTATCCCTCCTTAAATAACGGGCTCACAAATGTCCAGGTGCGAGGCTAATTATGCACCAACACTTCCCACTCAAGCCTACCATAATTTACATGTCACCACAGTCCTGGGGTACCTGATTAAAATGTCAGGCCCTGCTAATAAACTTCCTCCGGCTTTCTCAGTCCGTCCGTCCGCCCCGTCCGCCCCCCCCACAATCTAATTATAACACGTGCTTCATTGATTGTCTCCATCTAGAGCTATTCAGTCTTGTCACATGTTTTGTCAACCCTACACCTGCAATCTACACTACCCCTCCTTAGTTTATAGGTGTCAGGTCCTACCCCTTCGGTAGGGCAAACTCAGGTAAAGATCCAGTGGATCGTAACAATATATATATATATATATATATATATATATATATATATATATATGTTGCCTCCTTTCTTTGGTATATTAATGATGATACATCATTTTTCCAAGATTTGGTTATTTATTTGGAAAGCCCTATTACTGTTTTTACACATGGGTACACTGTGAATTTCTTCATTGGGGTGTCCCCTACTACAGGGGTGGGCAAAGTGCGGCCCGCCACAGAGTTTTTTTTAAATCAAAGCTTGAGGATATGGAGGTAGATTATCAAGATGGAATTCTCCACAACAGTGTGAGGTGGTTGAGCTTGGGCAAAGTGATAAAAATAAATAGAATCAACTTTGATAGACAGTATGTTAACTTTAACAGACAGCACAGCAGGTCAACTAAAATCCGCTACCACAAAGTGGCCCTTGAGTCAAAACAATTGCTCACCCCTGCCCTACTGGAACCTTGTTGCTTTTAGATTTAGGTTTTTTTTTTTTTTGTTTTTTTGTCATTTAATTGTGTAAGCTCCTGTCTGTAAAGGTAAAGTAAGCCTATCCTGAGTCTGGTTTGTTTAGCAGATTTTCAAATTATTCTACCCATCTCTTGGTTTTTTTAGGTGATTTTTTATTGCTTATCTTTAACAGGCTGGATTTTTTATTACACTAATTGCCTGTTTTCTAAGCTATTGAGGTGTGTTCACCTATGCCACACTTGTTCATGTATCCATCAAGGTGCGTCTTACACCAAGTGTTCTTTTTTGTAATAATATGCATATATGACCAAAGTATAGGACACTTACTAAGTTTTTCTCTAAAAATTGACAAGTCAAGCTCATTTTGGTTTAACTGTCTGTGGTGGGGGAATTGCCTTCTCTTCTTATTATTCTATTAGTTTCCACATATAGTTAAATACTGTGACGAGGACAAGAATACTCTCAATTCCGTGCATTAAATAAGACAACTCGAAGATCAGTTTGATTTACATTTTACTTATTACACATCCGATGCTTGAATATAATAGGCTTCACACAATATATACTTGTTGCCTACACCTATTGTTCAATGTTTCCTACACTATTGTCCCTACACTGTTCCCTAACTCTACACTTGTATACGTCCTCTCACTACAAAGTCTCAACCCCGACTGCCTAGCTTCTACTGTCTCCTAACCAGCATCGTCCTCACTTCTTTGTCTTGTCCATCCGGTCTAACCTAATTTGCATGTCGCCACAGTTCTGGAGTACCTGATTAAAATGTCAGACCCGGCTAATAAACTACCCCCATTACGGTCACCCAGGCCAACTAGATACGTGTCTGCTACACCTACCCCCCACAATGATGTCGCCCGTAATTACACTCTTAATTCTAACCCGTGCTTCGTCGATTGTCTCCGTCACGTACATTGTCTATCCTACACCTGCATCTACGTCACCACACTGTCCCCATTTTTAAACACAGATTGTGATGTATTTCAGTGACACATGGCTTACAAGTGGAATTACTAGCAATAAAGCAATCAGATGGCAAGGTGATGGCAGTACTAGTACCGCTATTAACTATTGGATTACAGGCAATATTCCAAGTGAAGATGGCTTGAGAGTAGTATATAACTATTCAGGTAACTTTATTTCTCAATCAAATTATTAATCTTGTTTTGAGCAGCATTACTAAATGGTGTATACTTGAGCTTTAAACTTATGTAGCTATAGATGGGTACTTTCAATATTTGCTTGATCTATTGTATCAAGTGTTTCAGTTAGTGGCTGTTAACAAGTGAACTATATCATATAAGAGGCAATATATAACAAAATATGTTATATTTTACATTTATATAAATTTTTACTTTCTAGTAAACTGAGCTTAGAGGAAACAGTAATCATGCAGAAAAATCATTTGAAATTTTTAGGGTTTTTGCAGTTTTACACCTCCCTACTTTATCTTTTATGAAGTATAAAGGAATTATTGTAATCATGCTAATAATCTAAATCAATATTTTATGAACATCTTAATGTTTTACACATCCCAGAGTCAGAAAAATTTAGTTTTGTGAACGCTTTTCCATTTTAGTTATGTTGGCAAAGTTTCATAGATTAACACAGAAATATAAAAAAAAAATGGTTGAAATAATCTTTCCTGGGCTAAAAAAATGTCAGAAAAATTGTTGAGTTTAGCTTAATTAATTTTGAAAAGGTTAGAGCAGTTACTAAAATCCTGAAATGAATATTTTTCTATTGATTATTATGGCTAACACTTTACTGTTATATTAGCCCCTGATTCAATTAATGTCTAAACAACTGTGGTCTTATTATGAATCAATACAAAAACTATTGTAAGAGTATTGACAGAAGGCAAAATTACTAAAGCTAACTGTATATTTTGTCACATAAACCCCACATCTCTTGAATATTTGCCACCAAATCATGTAAGCCCCCTCACAAACAAACAAAAAATTGCATAAATAAACTATAAACATTTTAATTACAAGCTTTAATGTAATAATGCACTAAAAAATTAATAAAATAAATTAGTTTAATTAATACATAAAAAATTAATTAGTCATCCAATTATGTCAAATTTAATGTCATATTGCATTGCCTTCAAGTCTTGACCCACATGCCAACTTTGAAACATATCTGTCAGAAATCTATCCCCTAATTATGGCTCACCCATTTCGATCCATGACAACAGGCAGAGGAAGCAAGTCAAATAAAAAATTGCAAAGTGCCCAAAATTTCGCTCAAGCGTTTCGATTAATGACGACAGATAGACTGACGATAAACAGTGGAAGCAAGTTAAATAAAAGTCACATATAAAAGGTTGTAAAAAGCATACATGTAGCTGAAAACCTTTACTAAACAATATGTGTCACAATATTTGCAATAAGTTAATTTTCACAAAGTAGGGACATTAGCTCATATACAATATTTGAAGTTATAAGTACTTCATGTAGTGTTTAGCTATATTCATCTGTTGAATAAATACACTATTCAGTAATTATTTATCATCTTCTAGGTTCATGTTCTTAATTGAAATGTTGGAAGAGATTTCCCCCAACACAATATTTTATGTCAGTTTGTTATGCGGTATTTAGGTCTTTAATTTCTGCCTGCTTTTCTTTCTGGATTTGCTTCAATACCTTTTTCCACTCCAGAACAGACCACAAAAAAGAGTTTTCTGTCCTAGTAGGGTTGCTGTCCCCAACTATTGAGCCTTATCTGCCCAGGAGTTTTAATTCAGGACTTTTCTGTTTAGTAACCATGAGCTTTACTTACTTAATCACGCCAACCCAATCACGCCAACCCACCTATTTAATGACATGTCAGAATGAATATTTTTAATATATTAAACTAATAGCATTTTACTTTTATATATTATTTTTTAAATGTAAAGCTCATCAAATCTATTGATTGTTTACCACCTTCATAATTAATGATGCTGTCGAAAAATACTAATATTCTTTAACTTAATCTACTTTAGTGTTGTTTATTTTAATGCTTTGCGAATTGTATTTTGTTTAATAAATTTAGTAATTTGAAATTTTAGTCTTACATCATTTGCAAAAGAAATAAGTATTACGTTTTTCTTCATGTTATGTCATCACCAAATCTATTCAGAGGATAAAGAATACCATCTAGTTTGACCCATTTTGAACTTAATGAATTGGTGATATGATACTTTATGCAACTCTGTATTATCCAATCTTCTTGGTGTCTTCTTCTAGATCTAGGTTACGTCTTCAGGTCTAAGTCAGCCTTTTTTTGCCCTGTGGATTCTAGTTGGGGGCCTGTCTTCTTATGGTTGATACAAGTCCTAGCATCAGATGGCAGGGCTTTCTTAATGCCATCTTTTTATGTCCTCACTTTTTCTTCAGAATTTGTTCACTAAATTCACTTACTGCATGAAATGTTAAATTAAAAAAACTGAATCCTCAAATATTGCTAAAGAACTTTCCAAAGTCATAGTTTTATACTTGATGTAGCCAAAGCTAGATATGGGCAGATTATTAAACTCTAATAAAACTCAAAAATGCAAATATTACATGAATCTAATATCTACACTACCAAGTTTGAGCTACTCTATATATTTTAATTTAAGGTGCTGATTATCTCTGGAGTGCAGGAGTCGATGGTTCTTTATATTCCTTCATATGTGAAATTAGTGTTGATGATGTGTTTAGGATTGTACAAGAACCTAGAGATTTTGGTATGTAAATATTTAATTCAACTCGCACAATATTCCAACAATTTCAGTCCTAAATAACAGTCTAAGTAAGTATGTTTTTGAAGTCTTTATTTTTATTTAAGCCTATTGTAAACCATGAGGTGTGTTTCATAGTTTTATAATGTGCTGTTGTTTAATTATTTGTTAATGCTGTTTGACATAAACAGCCGTAAAAAAAACTTGGCTGTTCAATGATACTTATATTTTTAAAAGTAAATTTTAAGCCCTCTAAATCTGGGTAATTTTTTATAGTTTTGGTATTACAAAATATATTTCATTTACCAATTGAAAACTATCTCAGAGATGATTTTTGAACGGCCATTGAGCAACGGATTTTGACCCCTCTCCCATTCTACTCGCTGGCCTGTTTTTGACCAATCTATGTATTTCTTTACAAATACTTGTAAAATGTGCAGAACTGAATAGCCTTTAGTTGGATACTAAACAAATAAATGCATAATAGACTAAATGTTTTAAATGTTAAAAAACAATGCTATTCAAAAATGAGTATGTGATTCTGACATCATATAAATTTTTTATTAGCATTTAAGAAAGATGGTCCTTTTTTCTGTTAAAACACTTAAATTGCTTATCATTTATGAGCATGGTCAAAAAAGGCAGAGCTCCACAAAACGCAATAGCGATCACTAAAATCGCTCTAGGCCCAATTGAAGAAAATGTCAGTTTCTTTGTTAACAATGCACCACCAAGCTTTTCCAAATTGATGTTAACAAATTTTTGAGGCTTGATAGTTCAGTAAAAAAATAACAACATGTAGCTACTTAATAAACAAGTTTGTCAGTCTAGTTTTTATAGTTTATTTCTTCAGTATATATTTATTATTAAAGTTATAACTCAGTTCAATGATTAGACTTCCATGTACTTTCAGTTTTGTATTATGTGTAAAAAAATTTTGATTGCTTAGTTCAAATATTTTGTTTTTTCTGACAGAGGTACTTTGAAAATTAATTTCAACATATTTTATAATCCTTTTAGAATAGTTGAATATTTTTATCTGTTAAATGTAAAAGGTCACATGATCGTATATTTTGTCACCAGTGTCAACAATATATGGGTATAGTTTAAAGTAGGAAACCCCGCTAAGTTCATGGATGGTTTGGGTTTTAGCGATGATTTAAAACTAAATAGTACATGGTTTGTAACTTGAAATACTTTACATTACCAAAAAAATAGATGATTTTAGCGTGTTAGCGTCAACAGTAAAATTATAAATTTGTACCGTAATAATAGTAATAACCGGTAGGGGGGTCTGTGCCGCTTCTCTACCGGGAATATAGTACAACAGTTACTGATATTAAAATAACCCATAAGGTTATTAATAGATTTATTACAAATTGTGTGCATGTGATGACTTAATTATAAATTTTCATTACATATATAGAGTTTACATAACTTAATAGCTTGTGACTTCCAGCGCGTACACATGCGCTCGCCTTGTCTGTTATTATAGCATTTGTGATTTGAATGATTGGTCCCAGACCTAGGACGCTGTAAATAGAAGGCATGGCCTACTAAATATTGCTAACATAAACAACATAACTAGAGTTACAAGTGCAGGATAGAACAATGTTGTGGAATATAGTAATGAGAGGTACTCATTAAATACAACTCAAGTTGAGGCAAAATTACAACAATTTAGATAATAGTAAAAATACATCAAATGCCGACAATAAAAACATATGACACTAAAGGCCGATATTATAGATTTCTAGCTTTTTATTTATATAATCAAATACCTTCTGTTAAGAAGCGATAACTGCTGATTTCTTGGACGCACCTATACACAGGGTGAGGGTTAGAGTGCAGGTGTGCTGAGCAAGGGCAGTGGTCAGGGTAAAAAGGGCCGAGTTAATTTGGTTACCGGCCCTTTTATCACACCAGTGACGGGCCTGTCCCATAAGCCTTTTCGGCTGGGGATGAGTCACAATGTAGATCTAGTGTCTGAACAGTCTAACAGGGGAGGGGGGGGGGGGAGAAAAGAGGGGAGGAAGAGGCAGAGCACAGATAGAGTGAAGGTCGTAACGACGATGGTTATAGAATAACATTACATTAGTTAGTGCGTTCTTTAACTATATATATTTTGTGAATAATTTCAACTTTATCTTGATTTAGGCAATATATTATTTTACAATGCCTCAAACACTCATCTGGGATGGGGGGGGGGGGTAGTTAGCTAATCATTATAGTTATAACAAACAATGTGCATATATATAAACGAGAAAAATGGCCCGTTGAGGAAGGGTACAACGGGCGCTAGGCTGATAGTGCTGTCTCTTTTCTCTAAACTAAAACCAACCCACCCCCCCACACACCACCCCACCACCCCACCCCCACCCCCCCCCTCCAAAAAAAAAACATGTCTACCGTCCCATTCAACGAAATATAATTATATACTTTTTCCAGTGTCCGCCCCCTCCCAGAAAATTCTGCCCCCGCCCCCGAAAATTTCAAGTACCCCCACCCCTCTCCGGGGAGGAAAAAGTCTGAAAGAAACACTGGTGTCGCGCTTAGCCACTACCCGAAGAATTGCATTAAAGAAATTGCAAGAAAACCACTTTTTAGATTAGACACATTAATTAGGCGGTAATTTTATTATAGAGTATCGATGAACAAATTTCTTTTGAGTTAGGGAGGGGGGGGGGGGCTCAGACGTTCTTACGGGGGGGTGGGGCTTTGCCCCTACCCGAAGAATTGTATGAAAGAAACTCTTCACGCAAACCACTTAGATTAGACAAAATTTCCTTTTTATTCAATGTTTACTCTCCGGTTTGAGATTATTTTCTACTCTGTGCTAAATGTGTCGACGTCATACTTCGTTTTTCGAAATACTATGCATGTTTTTAATTTCCTTGTGTTTTCTCTAGAGCGTTCTTGTCAGACAGAGCGTTCTTGTCAGATAGGCAGACAGCGAAACTATTAGTATTAATGATCAGTGCACAAGTGCAAATGTATTTGCACTTTACAGTCAGCTTGGAAATAAACCCTTATTAAAGCCCTTTAAAAAGAATATGTCAACGGAAAAAAACCTTGTTAAGTCCTCTCAATCATGTTGACTGTGATTATTGATTTCATATTTATAGGTGTTCAAAATCTATTTAGCCTACTAAGTTGTGTTTAATAAGCAAATATTTTTACCCTTTTGCAATAATTGTAGAACCAGCTATGTATAAATACATATTTATAACATATAGGTACATCAACTGAGACATTCTAAATGACTTCTTATTTTATGGGACCCTTGCACTGTTCCAGCCACCATTGGATCACATCTATATATATAATTCTCTTCTTGGAGACGTTAGTAAACACCAAGCTGTAAGCGTGCCTAGCAGTCCCCTCTCTTCCTCTCTAGGCATATCGCAACCACCCCCATCCCACATGGTCTGGTGAGCTGTAGTTCCCGCTAAATGTTTACGATCGTATAGCCGGGTTTAGTGAAGGGTATTAGGGGCAGATAATTTAGTTTGAAACTATTTTAAACTTAAGGGAGGTAACTAAGAGGAGGCTGCTTTCACGGGAAGAGGGGTTGGTGGAAAGGAGGGTTTTAGTGTTTCGAAGCAAATATTTTCAGTGACAGCATTGGTACTGTCGAGTTCACAAATTACGAAATACTGAAAAGTAGGAAAAAAACAACTAAATAGCGGCGTATGATACGCTGCGGGTCGGCTCGTATAAATAAATTTCGCAAAGGCTACTTACCTGTTAAGGGCTATTTTTATTCTGTATTTTGATATAGCTAGATCTACTGTCATAATTTGTTATTTTTATTTTTTACTTTCTCGTATATGAAGTATAGAGGAAGTATTATAATTGTACAAAAACAGACATTTTTACAAATCTCGACGTTTTACACCTCCCTGAGTTGGAAAAACATAGTTTTTGCAATTTTGTCTGTATGTGTGTGTGTCTGTGAAAACGATAACTTGAGTACCGTTATAGCTAGGTTGATGAAATTTCATATAAAAGTATTATATCAAAATTGTAGTTCTGTAACAACTTTTCAGCGATTTCTGGTAACCAGAAGTGGAACGTATTCTACTTTCTAATTTTTCAAAAGCCTATAACTTGAGTTGTATTACAAATAGATAAATGAAATTTCACGTTATTGTAAGTAAAAGATCTAATTCTCTGCCTTCTTTCAAATTTTGAGTAATTTCCGTTTGATCGGAAGTAATAATAATTTACGCTATTTCCGATTTCTCAAAACACATGTGAATTTATAAAGTACTAATAATATTCCACACTGTTATGCACATATTCATTCACCTGGTGCACAATTCTTTTTTCTTCGCAATTGTATGCTATTTTAAAAAATTTAAGTAATTAAAAATGGATTAAGAATCATGTCTATATCCCGTGTTGCCATCCCCCGTAGTGTTATATAAGAATATTCAAGAAAGTTTAGGGGAGATCACTCCCATTTTATTTAAAAATAAACATTTTTGACAGCTTTCGAATCCCTGCACTCTTCTAATTTAATGTGTGATTCAAAGTTACATTTTGCCTACAGGTTACTTAAATTTAAAGAAGTGTTGTTTCCCTAGATTTTGATATACTTATAAAGTATGCTCTTGCATCCGAAAATTTTTGGTGATTTTTTTAAAAAATGTGTTTTTTTACTTCCCTTTTAATTTCATCAAAAAGTGAAAAAAAAATTTTCATTTCAATAAATGTATATAATGTACTTATTTTTGAGATTAAAAAAAAATTGGGTCTGTTCTCTATGTATGTGTTTAATTTTAAAAAAAGATTGTGTGACATATACTTTTACAGATATAACCTCTCAAACATGGCAGTACCCACTATCTTAGAATCATGGGTTCTTGACATAGCAAGTTTCAAAAAGTTCTGAGACCGTTTAAAAAAAATCTGTTTGACACCCCTACTTCTTTGTTTAAATTGTTGCATACACTTATAATGATTTTTATTATTGTTAATCTTTTATTACTAGATTATGGACTAAATGTTGACAATCCTGGCCAGGCACCTAAGGGCCCAACATTTCTTCTAGAACCACAAGATACAATTGTCATAGGAAGCAAAGCATCATCTGTATATTTAGACTGTCTAGCTCAAAGTAATCCTCCTTCAACCTATGAGTGGTGGATGATTAGTAATGATAATATTAAAAAACCGTTACCTCTAGACACTAGGTATGTATTGTATTCTCCACCGTAATATTTTATTACTATCTTTTAACAAAAAATATCTTTTAATAATTAATATATTCAATGATATACTTGTATGGTAATGTATGACTTGATAAGTAGATCTATAGATCTAAATCAAATTTGAATGAAATTATTCATTACTTCATATTCTAAAATTGGAAGATGACACCATTTTTTTGTGTACTTTCCGTACTTTAAATATATGGCATGTGACGTCATTGTTGTTTTTTGCATTCTTGTCACAATCTTGTTCTTGTTTGACATGGTTCATCCGATCACCATGAAACTTTGTGGAATTTATCAGAATGCTCAAGGGAAAGGTTGTGCAGAATTTTTTATTTTTTATTTCGCAAAGGCTGCGCCCCAGGAGGGTGTGATTTTTCTCTATATATGGTACATAAGAAATGAAAGTCGGGTGGGGTTCAACACCGTTCATCTGATTGCCATAAGCTTTAGGGAGTTGATCGAAATACTCGCACGGAAGTTTTTTGCGGGAAAACAATTTATGTGCTGCGCCCGGGAGGGTGCTATTTTTGTCAATACAGCCACCAGCGCCTCAGCTATTGCATGATGCAAAGCACCCCGGGTTCATCTGAGAGCAATATGGCGCCTATTTGGGTTATAAAAAAAGGCTTTGCACAAAAGACACAATGGGCAACATTAATTGTTGACTATATCGAATCAGGCGCGTCCCTCTAAGCTCTTGTAGGGTTCGATTTGGCGCCCTGGGCTTTCCCGTAAGCACAATGGCATCTAAGTTCATTCTAAACATTCTAAACTATGGATAAAATGGGGCATTATTGTCGCCCACTAAATTGAATCAGGTGCTCCGGCAGGGCGCTATTAGGCGCTCTGGGTTATCCTGCTAGTAACATGGCAGCTACGTTAGTTTTAAATAGCCAGGGTCCTACGCTGTGCCGCTGCGATAGTGTTATCAGGGGGTCCAAAGAGTGCCTCTCTACATGCACGGTCACCAAAGTGTGTTCTACTTCACTGTTACGGTTAGTGATTACACTCAAGGCTTTCATGCGGTAGTGTAGGTAAACTCATACCCCGATAAATATGATCCAAGCGCAGGCATTGTTTACATTTAAAGAACTCAGTTTTAGAAAACAATGTCACACGTCTAAGAATATAAAATTAGTTACGCAATGATGAAACCCTTTTAAAATATTACGTCATAGTTTTCTCTATGTTATGACAAATCATATAGCTGGGCACCATCCTAGATTACTGGTAGATGAAAAAAATAATTCAAAACCATAACAGCACAGTGCATACATTGTATTGTTTCCTCATTAGGCAAAAACAACTAGTTATCAAAGGATACTTTAAATCAATTATCAATTACTTTTGGAAATAAAATCAGTTGTGTATTTAATTTCAAATCATCATATATCAAAGCTGTTGGTATGGAACTGTTTCAAAGAAAGTTAGTATATTTCCAGAATCATGAGTCTGTCTCCCCTGATAGTAAATTCTTGCTGTCTCCTTTTCCCCAATAACAAATTGCTATTATTTTCAGGTACTCTTTTACTACTGGTATGCTTGAGATAACCAATCCAACTAAGGCAGATGAAAAGACCTATCAGTGTAAAGCTACTAATCAATATGGATCCATATTAAGTTCTACAGCACAACTCTCCTTTGGTGAAATTGGTGAATTCTCTAATGTCCCACCAGCACCAGTTAATGGGTTAGAATATGATGGTGCACAGTTGGAATGCCCATACATTTATGGAAGGCCAGGTAAATGAAATTAATAATTGTTTCAACAATGACCACTTTATAGATCATTCTAATACAGTTGTAGTGGCTTAAATTTGTTCTATAACCTTGTTGGTAGGTCATATTGCTTATTTCTTAAATCAAAATTTTCCGTGAGAAGTTAATTGAACTGCCATTAATATGTTCCAGCCCCAAAAATGCCACCCCAATTGCAACTTTTTTATGGTGTTTCTTTCCCACAAATTGTGAAACCCACTGATCAGGTTTCTCAGATCTATACATTTTCTTGAATTTTAATTAGCTCAGTTTCAAATGTGATAAAATCTCAAACAAAAATATATATGCCTTTTTTTAACATGGTCTACTTAAATATTAAATGCATTTTAGTATAAGTTAGATTATTTGTAGTACTGCCAATAATTTTTTTATTTAATTTTTTTTCTTTAGCTAAAAGCTACCAGTGGTATAAGAATGAGTTCACAAGCTTTATAAGGCCAGATGCACAGACTCACAGTTTTATATCAGCTAATGGAAAACTGTTTTTTTCTGAACTAGCTCCATCAGACCAAGGAACATACTTCTGTATTGTTACATTGACTAACTTTGGTGTTAGTGGCAATGCCCTTAGTATGTCAACATCAGAGAGCAGAAATAGTCTTGGGTTTGCACTTAGTGTAAAATCAGGTGGAGCCAGTCAGTATCAGCCTGTCATACAAAATGATTTTATTTTTGTTTATCCTCCTACACCTACTAGAGGTGGAACTGTTCAGTTAGAATGTTTTGCATATGGAACAGGACCTCTAAGGTATACCTGGTCACGTGAAAATAATAGACCTCTTCCCAATGGATACAAACTTTCAAGTAACAACAGAGTTCTCCTGCTGAGCAATGTGGAGCTTGCTGATGGTGGAAGATATATTTGTCAAGTATTTAGCACTACAACAAATCTGAAAGATGAAAAGTCTTATGATTTAAAGATTCAATCCAAGCCTTATTTTACTTATCCCTTAACTCATCAACACATGGATGTTGGAAGTAGACTCTCTTGGCACTGTGAGGCTGCTGGTAGACCAACACCCACCTATGAGTGGTATAAAAATGGAGAGCCTTTAAAAAGTTCTCCAGGAATTACTGTTGATGTTAATACTCTCACAATTGCTGCTGTAGATGCTAAAAGAGATAGTGGAATGTATCAATGTGCAGCAAAAAATAACTATGGAATAACTTTTAGCACCGCACAGCTTCGAGTGTTAGGTAAAAAAAAATCCTTTTTTTTCATATTTAAAAACGTTATCGCTATATTTTGCCATGACTTTTTTTTTATGTATGCAAATTCAAAGAAAAATATCTTTATTCGCAGAAATTTCTCCATCATTTGAAAAAACTCCAATGATTAAAACGCAAGCAGCAGCATATGGAGGAAATGTTACTATAATATGTAACCCTGTCTCTGCACCCTCACCAACTTATACTTGGTTAAAAGATAGCATCAATTTAAATCTTGTGCCTGGAGTGTATACTGATACGGATCATATGCGAGTATTAATGAATGGTAACCTTATGATTCAAGGTATTCAGCAAGGTGATCAAGGAAAATACACCTGTCAAGTAGAAAATAAAATAGGAAAGGCAGAGGATTATACAACATTAAAAGTTTTTGGTAAGGGTCTAAATTTCTGTCTACATAAAAGCAAAAGTTTAAAAATAAAAGTATTTAACTTGGTGTTTGTATTCAAACATTTTTTATATATATTTATAGAACATATTATGTATGTATACATAAATATATTAGGGTGTTCATTATTTTATTTATTTTTCAACTGGATTTTTCTAATAGTGTTTCATATCGTTGAAAAAAAAATTAATTTTAATAACTCTTAACTATGATTATGAGGGGGGGGGGGGGGCTATCATAACCAAAAGTTTTAAATTTTTACACATTATACTTCAAAAAATTTTAATTGGCAATAAATGTGTACTCTACATACTGCATGCATTATTCGAATGCAATAATATTTAGATAATCCTTTCTTTACATTACGTTGTGAAGATTGCATGTTAAACTTGAAAAACATTTTTTATTTCTATCTTCCAAAGTTTTTAAGGATAATGACTAGTGTTTATTGCAAGGTGTTAACACCAGAAGTAAAGTTGATTTAAGAACTAATATTTTGTTAACTAGATAAAACCGTGATATCAATTTCACCAAGTGATCAGCGAGTAGAGGTCAATTTAACTGCTACTCTGGCGTGCCAGGCATCACATTCACCCGATATAGATATTATTTACATCTGGAAATTCAATGATCACATCATTGATTACTTTCTTGAACCAGAGTATAGACAGGTAAGCAGTTTCATATAGACTTTTTGAATAAATATTACGGTTATTTAAAGAATTGCTTTTTTTTTTCAGTAAAAAATAATTCTATCTTCTTCATAATTATAATGATTGATGTGATTTCCCCAAACACAGTTAAGTATTACGTGTCAACATTTATGCGCAATATGGTCCATTGACTCTGATTTCAGTTCTTCTTCGTTCTTAATTTTTAGTATTGGAAGGGATTAAGGACACAATTAAGGATTACGTGTCAACTGGTTATGCGCCATTGAGGCCATTGACTCCTATTTCAGCCGCTTTTCTTTTTGGATTTGCTTCCATAGCCTTTGTCCAACCAAGAACAAACTACAAGGCAACAGTTGTTTGATTTTGGAGTTGTCTCTCCTAGAAGAGTGGCTGTCCCCAGCTAACAAGCCTCATCTGCCAGAGGGTTCGAACTCGAGACTTTTCCGTTTAACAACCATGAGCTTTACCAACTCGACCACACCGCTCGACCACACCGACCCCTATGATTTCAGTTAACTTGTTTGATTTTGAAGTTATCTCTTCCCATCTATTGAGCTTCATCTGCCTGGGGGTTCAAACTCACTTTTTGGTTTAGCAACCATGAGCTTTTCTTGATTATATATGGGAAAAAGTGTAGCCATGGTGCTTACAATTCAACAGTAAATTATCTAAAAATTAGAGAACAATGCAAGATTTTAGAAATTTTATTGGAGTGTCAGCAACTGAGCTTGAAATAATGTTATGTATGATAATACGTGTCTAAGGCATGACCCAGCTGCTAATAGAGTCCTTGCATATGATGTCACTGATCGTTCAGTATGTAAACATCCTCCATCGTGGTGTACAGGTTTGCATTCAAAATGGCAATCTGTGCTGTGGAAGGTTGTGATACTTGAAGTGGCAGATCTAAAGGGATTCTTTTATTTCGACTGCCAAGGGTTATATTAAACCAAGGTGATAGAGATCGGCAATCAACAGAACATAGGTGCTGTCAATTTTTTAGCCAATAGGCCTATTATCAAAGCGGTGTGAGTGAAGCAGCGGCTAACAAAAGTAGGGACAGTAAACAATAAATTTCATTTCAATTAACAAAGCAAATGTTAAAACAATTATGCTCGACCTTCATAAATATTAATAGCAAATGACCAAAGTCAAAAGTAATAATAAAATTTAATTGGAATATTTATTTAATATTTAGATCTAGAATCCAGCTCTAAATCTAATCATGTTGTAAACTAAATTAAATCTAGACTTAGAGTGACCGGCTAAGCTAGGTAGACATAAAATCTAGAATCTACTTAGGCCTATTTAATTAATTTTAATTACAAAATTAATTCAATTTGATTAGGCCTACAAAATTCAGACCTATATTCCATTCATAATACACCAATAATTAACAAATTAAAAATAATAAAAATGTAATTGTCTCTGATATCTAGATTCTAATCATTTTATTTAGCAAATGAAATTATCTGAAATTGAAATAGATTGTATGACTAGACATATCTAGAATCTGCTACTTAAGTTAAATTTTAAAAGTAGTTGATATTTTTTTGTAGGCTTCAATAAATTACTTAGGCCTACCATGTTTCTATTTACAGTACCAAGTATCTGATACTGGACTGAGTTTAGTTAAATTTAGAAGCAGATCAGTGGTACTGATTTTCCCTTTGTTTCCCTGCTGGACCCTGAGGGTAATAAATTTCATAAGAGATGCTATCTCTGGTTGGCTGAGATCTAAGAGCAGCAATCCATGTTGCCTACAAAGAGATCATGTTTTATGTTGGGTTAGAAACGATTGGGGGCTGGGTGTGACGTAGCATGGAGGTAAGAAATTTTGAGGGGAGGGAAGTGGTATTGATTCCTCTTTGATCTCCACCCTGCTAGATCATGATGTAAGTAAGACATTTTAATGTGGATGCATGGGTATATTGTGTCGGATCACTTCCCTGCTGGACCAGGAGGGTCATAAATTACATAACATGCTGGGATCTTGTTACCTTAGAAATAAGCAGTTTTATTGGGGGTTTCGTAAGGGTTAAGTGGTCTCACGTTTGTTACTCTACCTTAGATCTATCAGATCTATTGCTACTAAATCTTGCATTTAACTAGAGAAACTAGATCTAGATTTAAATTATCTATATTACTGAATTTTATGTCAACACGAATATAATGATCTTCATTTCCTAAAAGTATTAACGTATTGTTTATGTTCTGTGGGTGCAAGGCTATCAATATATAATGAACACATTTTGAGACACACCCACAGCTGATTGTTTACTCGCGGGTGTTCACCACCTTGGCTGCAGACGTAGGTATCACATGATTTAGGTCACGTGTTTGCAAGGACTATATTGTACCCTCAACCTGCAGTAAAAATGCTCCAACCCTCCCCAACCCCATGGTAGCTATACTGCTGTCATTTTGCAATAGTTAGTAACTGGAGAAGTTTTTAGTTTTCTGATGTACATTCTCAGAATTTCCTAATTAAAAAGTTAAACAAATAAATACCCAATGAAGAAATAGACTTGAAAAATTTTGTAAACACCATTCACTACTTGAGTGGAGAGGAATTGTTTGCTACCATGCATTTTATTTGCATTTTTAAAGTATTGGTGATAGAGAACATATGCTTCTTTGTTGCTCATTTATATCCTTCAGGAACAGCTTGTATTGTTTGAACGAATACATTTTTGTCTGTTGAAGCTGATTTCTTCAAATATTTGTGCCAAGTTCATTAAAAATAATGAGTTCAAGTTATAACTATACTGAAACCCTATTGACCAGTCTATTGTTTAGAATAGAAATAGATCTAGATTTTAGAGTAGGGCCTATGACACTTGTTTTTGTAATCTCTTTATGTATTGAACAATGAATAGCTGCAGTTTACTTTTTTGAGGTACTTATATTTGAAGAATCATAATTTATTATTACAACTTAATGGTTATTCATGCATTGTGTTGAAAATATTAGGGAGAGGGAAGTCAAAAAGGGTCACTCTACATAATAGCCACTCAGTTTAAAAATGAGGGCAAGTACACATGTCTTCCAACAACTGGTATGGATCAACAAGCTGCATCTGCTTATGTCACAGTTATGGGTAAGTAAAACACAAATTTTAATTTGTTATTACTATTATTGATGTTCTCTTGATGTATATGAATTCTGTTTTCTATGCAATTTAGTATTTCAACTAGTATATATGATTGTAATGTAGGCCTAATTATTCTATACAACTCTGATTGGAAAATAGCATTTATTTTAATTATAAAAGATCTCCAGCTGTTGGAGAAAGGATGCCAGGGGAAAATGCAGGGCTGCCAATTGATTATCTCCTTAATTTCATGATTTTGACAATTAAGTTTGTTGAAACAATTAGGGGTTTACCTACCATAAGATTTAATTCTATTTTTAAAAAGAAAGCATAAAAAATTATCTTGAAAAGGCAATAAATTGGCTTTTAAATTCTGAAAGTGGTAACTTATATATATTTAGAGTTGCTTAATGGTGTCTTTTATTTACTTCTCTATTGCTATACAGTTAACTTCACTTCAGTCAAGTCTAGTTTAACTGTAACTAATCATAAACATCTTCACTAGATATCCTTATGGGTGGGGATGTTAAGAAAATGATGTTTGTACTCATTAAATTGAGAATCAATAAATGACCTGATCATTTTACATTTTATCTAGATTTTAGTCAGAAACCTTTGTTTTCTGCAAACATAGATTTTTGGTCTAAATGATTATGTGTCAGCACCCCCCCCCCCCCCCTTAAGTGCAAATTTTTTATTTTTTACTTTCTCGAATACCAAGTATAGTATTGTAATCGTGCAAAAAAATCAAAATCTACTTTTGATTTTTCAAAAGCTTATAACCTAAATACTCTCTCAGTTAGATAGAAGAAAGTTTACACATAAGTAAAACATCTAATTCTCTGACTTCTTTCAAATTTTGAATAATTTTCATTTTACGGAAGTGGTACTTTATGGTATTTCCAATTTCTCAAAAAGGCATATGAATTTATAAAATACAAATATTCCGCACTATGGTACACACAATTTGTGCTGATCACTTTCACAGTTTCTTTTTTCATGGCCATAATATTCCCAAGTGTGTTATATAAGTTTATTCGAAAAAGTTTAGGGGAGATCACTCCCGCCTTATTTGTTCACAAAATAAATGCTGTTTATAAATGGATTCCTTGAATAGCTAACTCTTCACTTGCATAATACAAATAATAAAATATTTTGACTTGTGTGTGGCTGTAAATTTTTTTATAAAGCTTGCCGGAATTAATTTTTTTTTTGTAGGCTTTGAAAATATAGTGTTTTTAATTTTAGAAATTGTTAACAATAATATCATAATTCTATAATTAGACATTTTTAGATTATATCTCAATTAGTGATTTTTTTTTTAAACTAACCATTTATGACATAGCCTTCAATGCATAAAATCTTGGAGATACTTTACATAATAAATGCAGATATTTTTGGAGATACTTTGAATTACAATGTTTTTAAAATGTAAATCTGCATGCAATAAATATGTGAACAGTATTTATTTATATAAAAGCTACAGGTAAAATGACATTTGAAAATATTCATAACTTCATCTTCCCAGGACCACCTGGTGAACCAGTTGGGGTATATGTTCAAACTAAAACTGCACCCATCATTGACCCAGCACAAAATCCAAATACAACACGCATCATAATGTGGACAGATGGATTAGACCGTGGCAGCATTATCACCAATTATTTTATTGAATTCCGCACTGATTTTGACTTGAGATGGAGAGTACATAGTGATGGCAACAGTAAGTTATCCTAAAATAAATGTGTGGTTTGCACACAGTATTCAATTGTTGTTAAATGAAAAAAATATTAAATTGTTATAAAAAGAATTATTACAATGGTTTTGCTCAAGTTTTTGTTGCATCTTAGTTAACTATTTAAATTTTTCTTTTGTTATTCTAATTTGTTTTTAAAAAAATTATCATATTATTTTAGGAAAATACTTTTTATGTGATTAGATTTCAGTGTTTTTCAAACAAAAAAAACAAATCATTTTACAACCATATTTTACAGGGATGTGACTTTTCCAATTCTTAGCGGAATTCCAAATTTTTCCATTTAAACTTTCAGTTTCCTCATATGATTTCACTTTCTCCCAATTTTTTCCACTGTTTTTATTTTTTTTGCAGCTTTTTTATGAAGTTTTCAAAATCAGGAAAATGACCTCTAAGGAAACCCCCCCTATTTAAATTGAGCATTTCTGTACTTAGCTCAAACATGCAATCGAATATACGTATTTCTTTTCAGTTGGATGATTGCTCTGGCTCTTAAGGTGCTAGATTAAGATTAAATGTAGATATAGTTCGAGATTCAGAATTATCTAAAATAATGCTGCTCTTCTTATTAAACATCTCCCAAGCGTTATTTAATTATCGGTATTTTAACTTGCCCGAATCTACCATTTCTCTCTGCTTCTGTTTTATTTCACAACCTCAAATTAATATTGAAATCCTTGCAAAAGGTACTTTGAGGACAAGACTAACCCACGCCTCTTCTTTGTAGCAACGGTGGCTCTTGTGACCTCACCATGACCCCAAGTCATGCATGGTACTGCTTGTTTGGGGAAAAATAAAATGACATCACAGTCAATCTGAAAGAGCTATGTTCCTGCTAAACGTATGCTATAGGCCTAATTATTTAAAAACTAACATGAACACAACATGACTCAGATCATGATTTAGAAATAATACTATACTGATTATTTTTAGTAAGGGTCCTCCCAAAAGCCAAAAATAATGTCACACTCATACTGGGGGGGGGGGGGGGGAGTGATAGTGTGACTTTATACCTTTGTATTTTTAAAAAGTAATGTTAGAAACTGACTTTTAGGGGCTATTTAGAGTTTTATAAAATTGTTTTAATAAATTGTAATAGAAGTTGATTATAATACCCTATTTTGGTCAAGCTCAGTCAATATTTTAGAAAAAAATTGGTGTTAAAAAAAATTCAATATTGAGGAGAGGGGTGCGGTTGTTGGCTGAAGTGTGACGTCTATTTAAAGTGAGTCTGGCTTTTTTGACGGAGGAGAGGGAGGAGGTAAAAATAGTCACAAAAAAAGCATGATGTCATGACCCCTAAAAATTAACAGTTATTCCAAAAGCATAAATAATGATTTGGCTTGGCTATCAAAATGGTAAGTTTGGTTCAAATATCAGACCCTTTCTAATTTCAGCTAATCTGGTCCATTTTCATTTTCCATCACATGAACCAATACTTTCAAATTACAGTTAATCTGAATCTAGGTTGCTTGCCATTGCCAATCTTTAAAAGAATATCAGGCATAATCTAATTGAAAACAAGAGTAGAACTAGACTAGATTAGTAAAGTATAAATTCGCTTCATGTTAAAAAAAAAATTGCCACTTTAGTTACATTGTAAAAAAAAAAAAAATTAAGTTGTTTATAAGGTAAACATTAAATTGCAATTCAAGACTTTAAATGTTATTTTAGAGTAGCATTAACTTCTTGAATTAAAATATTAGTTATATTAAACAATTAATCAGTACAGTAAGGGTGTGAGACTGCTTTATTTGCAATAAAAAGACAAAACATGGAGTCACATCTCTGATTTTAGTACTATTTACGTCATTCAGCGAAGTACCTTTTCCTGAAACTTTTGTAGTTATAATCTCTTGGCATATTTTAAGGAAAATCAGATTAAGACTCATCAGTGCGACTTAAATTTACAAAAGAATTTAAGCTATTAAAATTTCATATATTATTAACAATAGTTGGATCTTGTCCTTATAACTGATAAGGCTAACCAAAAAGTTAACACTCACCATCCAAAAAAGATTATGAATAAAGAGGATGTAAAACTTGTACTTTAAGATTTTATTAAAGAGGGTGAAATTGGGACATGTCATTAATGAGTTGCATGAAAAAGTCTGTATTTTGGTTTCTTTAACGCTAATGCTAGAGGTGGCTAGGGAGTAGTTTTTATGGTGTGTGTTTAAATAGGTCACAAGTAGTGTGGCTTAACTTTTAGGTACCCATCCAAGCTGAGTGGACTCAGAGACATCCTAGGGGCTCAAGTCTCAGATCTGAACTTTTTTATTGTTAGTTAAGAAACAGCAATATGCAAATTGTTGTTTCTTAACTCACAAGAAAAAAAGTTTACTTATTTAAACCATTGTTTTTAAAAACAGATACATAGTTACACATACTATTCAATGACCTAATTAAAACACTAGTTTTTTTATTGATTGGTTTCTATACATAATACAGGATTTTTATCAGGCTTAAATAAACTTTTCATGAAATAAACTTGTTAAGATGTAAATTACCCTATCGAATCTTACGGCCCAGTAGCAGGTGAAGATATCCCTGGAGGGATAGTGTGGTCAGCACTATGTCCAGCTGTCTTTACTTTCCTTAATGTTTGTCAGATACCCACAAAAGATAGGTGGACTCAGGGACATCATATGGACTTAAGTCTGTTATCTGAACTTTTGGGTTAGCAGTCAAATGCTCTACTCCACTGTTAAGAACTTAGGCAAGAATAATAAACATTAAGAACCATTTATTCTTACTGTTCAGCTTTTTTTATTTATTTTTTTTAAGATATAAAACAAAGTGACACCATCGATCAATTGTTCCCTGACAAAAGATATGCCCGTCTAACAAACTTGAAAGCAGGTGCTAGTATTCAGTTCAGAGTAAAGGCACGAAATAGTTTTGGTATTGGAGATCCTAGCTTACCCACAGGTAATGAATGTTTTGTTTGAATATCCCCTACCTCATTATTTTATCTTCAGTTTCTAAACTAAATTGACGTGTTTTTTAAAACTTCTTATATAATTTAGCTTAATATGCATTTTATGTCAAATATAGGTTTACTATACAAATGAAGATTGTTTTATGCTGTTGATTAATTTTGTTTCATTTCATTATGAGATTTGTCATCAGGGGCCAGATATCTGGGGTTATTCTTTATTGAGTTAATCTTTACCCTGCACTGTGTATATTGCCTACAAATTTTCCTGTGGGTTGCTTAAACCACACATTTTTATTGACCTCTTTAATTATAATAATAGAGACACAATAACATTGTAAGTGTATGTTTATGCAAGAAAAGGCAAAGAATGACAAACATAATACATGAGGTTTAAATAATTATTTTATTTAAACAAAGTAAAACTGAATAATAGCTATGGTTTCACATCAGGCAATTTTCAATATAAAAAAATATGATAATAAGTAGATCAACTAGATTTAAAGTAATAATAATTGTCATTTAGAAAAATTAAACAGTGTTTGAAAAGAAAAGGTTACATTAAGACTAATGTAAGTGCTCCCCTTCTCATTTAGGTTTAAGTTTTGGTCTAGGTGAAGTGTCAATAAGTATACGCTAATTTTATAAAGTACTACACAATACTATCCTTAACACTACTGCAGTAATTAACTAGGGGCAATGTCCTGCTCCTGACATTATCTTATCCTCCACCCTTCAATGTATGTGTTGTCATTTATGGACAAGTTTATTAAATTCATAATCTAAAATTTCACAGAATTATTCCAATAGAGCAAACATAAAATAGTTATTAAAAAGTAAATTATTCTGTTTCTGTGTCAACTGTGTATGCAGAGGTGGAAGCATGACATAACCTTTTTCAATCGCACCATTGTCCATTACAACATAAACCCCCATGAGTGATTAAAATAATAATTGTGTGTCTGTGTGTGTATATAATATATATATGCTGTGGGGTGGAGCAATACATTTGACCTTGTTTTCTAAAACTGACTTATTTAAAGGTATAGAAAATAGGCGTTATGCTTCTTACATATGGCGCTGGTTTAACCATGCTACCGCCCAGATTCCCCATAGCGTGCAGTATGAAAGTTTTAAGTCTAGCTTAATCATCTTCCATAATAGTGAGGTAGACAACCTTCAGTAACGATGTGTCAGGGGCATCACGGGGCGCTCTGTGGAGCCACCAGTTACACTACCACAAGGGGAGCTGGGTATAATTTTGAATATTCAGAGGAATTAACTAGGCTTAGTTTATTTAGCAAGAAAAATATTAATTTGGTTGTTTCCCTTTGTCCTATGGGCCTACCATTCTAAAAATGATTAGTAATGCCTTAAGAATAAATCTTGAGTTTCATTGGAAAAGTTACAATTCTAACAATAGTGATTAGTAATCTGTATGCATATAAGAATGAAAGTATGTCTGTTTGTCATTTGTGCATTACTCAGCCTTTGGGAAGTTGTTGAGAATATTCCTTGTGAGGAAAAAAAAAATTTAGATTTATGCTAGTAAATACAAATTAAATTCATATTTATTCTTAATTAAATGTTTTTCACATTTCTTTTTGCAGCCTCTACACAAATTCCTGGAACCAAACCTGTAGCCATTGTTACAAATGTTCGCGGTGGTGGAGGTAGTGTTGGTGACCTCACTATTATTTGGGATGTAAGTTGGATATTTTCTAATACCTTTTGTTCTAAGTAATGACATTATTTATACCTCATACTCCTATGGGGCATGAATCCAAAGGTTAAGTCATTAGACTGGTAAGTTATAACAAACAAGCAAAGAAATGAAATATTTCAAAAGAAAAAGGTTAAACATTTCAGCAGTCTTGGCATAGGGCAGAGCAAAATAGTGCTTCTAATCTATGCAATTTCCATGCATATTGGTACCAATGTGCGCATTGGCTGGCTGTCTTGGCCAAAGCCTGAATAACTCAGCACTAAGCGTATTTTGTACATTGGCCGGCCAATGCGCGCACTGGCCGGGACGTACTGGCCGAAGTGCTTAAACTTGACAGCGTATTTTGTACATTGGCCAGCCAATGCGCGCACTGGCCAATGTTCTATCTAGACTAAGTTGTGATCGCATTTTCATTATTCTGGGTGCTGTTTCATTGTGAGTAACATATTGTTTAGCTCTTGTTTGTATAGCATTCAATATGCAAGGCGACATGGACCAAAAGGGCCGTCAGACCATGAGACAGACATAGCAGATGGCTGTCAAAAGACAAAATGTAAATCCATGTTAGTTTCCATATATGGGCTACAACTGTATGGTACAGCCTCCTCCGTGATGACGAGGTGAGACAATCATCAAAGCACAGAATCAAAGACAGTCGGGTTACCAAGGCATAGCCAAAGCCAAGGTTCAGTCAAACGTACCAACCAAGATGTTCAAAACATGATGATGACATGGATGCAAACAAATGCTCATTGGGCTGGAAGTCTCAAATTTAATTTATGAAAAATCATTCTTTTCATCAAGGAATCCAACAATTGCCATACGAAGCCTTGTTTGGATGCAAAGCAAAAGTGGGACTTAGCACTTCAAATCTACCAAGAGAGGCTCTTGATAATTTCATTACTGAGGAAGATCTTGAGAACATTGAACAAGAAATGGAGGTTGCCATTAATGCAACGACATCCTCAGCTAACACATCTGCTGCCTTGGCAGAACGTCCAGACCAGTTCATGACAATAATGTGGCCAACAGATTCTGTATAGTTTGTGAAAAACATTGTAGTGCAGCCCATTCTTGTGGATCCTGTGGCAACAATTTGCGAAATACTTAATGAAGCAGACGAAGGGTACGGAGGAAATATTACCTGCAGATTGTGTCACAATAAACAAGACATCATGGACAACAGGTCAGCAGGTCATACTAGCTTGCAAACTCAAGGTGCTAAGATGCTTAAAACATCAAATACATAATTTAAACAGGCTGAAGTGGGAGATAATGTTCGCATCCATATACCAGATGTTGACAGAGGTCACGGTGATCCCCGAAGCGTCATTGCAGTTGGCATGAGCGTTGAGGGCGCTTTCTACAAGTTAGGAACGGAACATGGTGTTCTCAAACAATTGTATGCTAGAAGTGAGTTTTCAATTCTTCACGAAAAGGCTACACTCACTGCAATTGCACAACCAAGTGCACAACAAATCGTTGCAAGTGTAAAAATAACAAACTACTTTGTAATTCTAAATACCATAAAAGTTCAACTTGTTGTAACAAGGGAAAATATTGATTGATTGAGAATATAGTACTTTAACGAATAATCAATAAAGACTTAATTTCATGATCCTTACAGTAAAAAAAAACCCAAAATCTGCTCATCATCTTTTAATTCGGACTTTGGCAGGTCGTCCCTAGCCAGATTATCTTCTAATTCAAACCCAGCAGGGCGCAATTTGGTTTATAAAAATAAAAGTCGATTGCGGATTGACACCATTCATCAGATCGTCATGGAACTTTTGAGAATAAATGAGAATACTTCTGAGTAGATTTCTGTGGAAAAAAAATTCTTATGGGCAGCGCCAGGGAGGGTGCAATTTTCGTCAATACATGGTTTGGCGCCCAGAGTTCCAGAGCAGGTATTTAGCACTTGGCGCCCTTTAATCTGGTGTCCTACGTAGCGGGTAAGGGGTAATACTATATTCAGCTGCAAAACTGCAACAGGTGCAGCCACCGGCACCTCGTTGATTGCGCGACCCGAAGAGCCTGCGTTTTTAAAAAAGGCTATACACTAAAGACACGATGGGCAACAGTGTTCGTTGACTTAATCGAATCAGGCACGCCCTCCGGCGCATTTGGTACTCCGGGCCTACCCGTGAGCACTAAGGCGCCTACGTTAATTTTTGATACAATAAGTTGCTATAGTCGCTCACTAAATCGAACCAGGAACGTCCTCCAGCGTCTTTGCAGGGTGCAATTTGGCGCTATCCCTCAAGCACTACGCGCCTACATTAGTTTTAAGGAGCACCCTTCAATATTGTTAAGGCGGCACACGACACATGATTAAACCGTGCTAGGGGCTTTACGTAGCGCCCCTGCGATTTTGTAATGGGGTTCACAGGAGCGCCACTTTCCGTCACCGACACTTAGGCGTTGAGTGATTAACAGTGATATCACGGTGAGTGATTAACTTACATTCAAGGCTTTCATACAGCACGCCCCATAGAGAACTGGGTTGTAGTGTAGGTCAACCCGTGCCCCGATAAATATGTTCCAAGCACAGGCATTGTTTACAATTAAATAACTCAGTTTTAGAAAACAAGGAAATACATTGAAAAATGGAGTAACTAAATATTCTATTAAAATGGCGAGTGTTTATTGTTTATATTTAATATTACATCGTTCAGTTTTGCAGACTAATATTTTTATTAGTGAAGAAATTTTTTTTATTAATATTTGTGCAAGGAGCTGAAGAGCAGCACCTTGACATCCAAAGAGCAGTGTGCGACTCGCGAGCCGCAGGTTGCCGACCCCTGAACTATTGCATTCAAATTTGATTTAGATCTACTAATCAAGATGGAATTTCTTGGCCAAAAGTAATACAAATTACTTTAAAAAACAACATAAATACCACATTGAACAGCCAGGTTTTTAACAAAATCATTTAAGTTTCTTAATTTTAAGTCTCTTAATCAGCGTGTGCATTTAATATGGTGTTGTGTTGACTAATAATGTATATAATTTGGTTTTAATTTTTATAATAGGTATTGGTAGTCTATGTTATTTTTAATGTGTCGGATTTTTTAGCTATTTGGTTATTTCTTTGCTTTGTCTCTAATATTGTTCAATGTGTAGTAAAGCACATTGCGTTTTGAGCAAAAACGTTTTTATAAAATATTTTTCTCAAACGAGTATAACATTAAAATATATAGGCCTATAATTCACGTGTAACTGGCACCGATGGCTAGTAAGTCTATAAAAGACTACAATAAGAATCAAATGTCTTGAAAAATATTTAAGGTTACGAGCAACTTTACATTTTAGGTTTTTAAAATTTTGAATTTTAGTTTCAGGATTTTTTTAAACTTTGGGATTGATACACTTAAAAATCAGTGGCACCTGCTTATGTGAACTCACTATGACTCATAGGACATGTTTATACTTGCTTATTTTGGAAAAATAAAAATGATGTCACTTTTAATCTCAAATAAAAGTGCCTATTCCCAGAAGATTGGGAATAGCTGTATTGGGACCAATATGGATATTCTCTGCCACTATTGTAGGGTCTTTTACATGTCATACAAATCATGGTTTCTGTATATGTTTTCTTGATGGTTTTCATCTCACAGGTGTTCAGTATGTTTCTTGCTGTTTTTAAAATTGCCTAGGTTTAACTGGCATATTTTTACTGATCCTATTATTGTTTTATACATGTTCCAACTGTTGTTCTTATTTTGCAACAACTTGTAGCTGCTGAAGCATGCCTTGTTGCCTACTGAGATTATTTCTTTCAATTCTCTGAGTGTTGCGTTGTTTTCATGTTTCACTGAGATGTTGTGGTTAACTTTGATAAATGTATCAGGATGATTTAATACTTTCAGCCACTACCAAAAGAGGATCATAATGGACCAGACCTGAATTACAAAGTTTCATGGAGATCGTATGATGCCAATACAAAATCAGATGTTGCAAAATGGCAAACTGTAAGCTTAATTATTAAAGTTCAAAACAGTAAACTCTATTATTACCAGACTAAAAATGGGGACAGCAAGGTCATACAGTAGAATATACAACTACTAACCTGCAGATCTTGAATATGATCTCAGCCCAAAGTACTAAAAATTTCCCTCAGCACACCCAGATGTGTAACTAGCTTCAGTTTGGGAAAAGTGTCTGAACATAAAACTGATTACTATATACCTTTATAATCAGAGGTGGCAGAAAATTTTTTAGACTGGTTACAACTGTACATTTTTTAGTCCACAGTGTCACACAGTACAGCATGCCAGTACGTTCCAGACTTTTCAACTGGTTTAATCTATGTGTGTAGATATGTACAACTTGTTGGTGTTCAACAGTATTATAGTCCATATGAGGTTAAAATTCAAGCTATTAATTCATATGGAGAGGGGCCTTCATCACCAGGAACAATAATAATGTCTGCTGAGGAAAGTAAGTCAAAATGGTTTTCAAACGTCCTATTTACACTAATCCTGTTATTCAGTTTCAGGATAGATTTTCTACATTAATTGTTCAAAGATATAATAATGAATGAAATTACAACTGTGTTCAGTCATGCTGTTTGACGGTTAACAAAGTTGCTACTTTTATCACAAGACTACTTATTTTAACTATCTGATTCAATGTAACATTTAAAATACGGCTATGAAAAAACTATGCAAAAAATGGTTCTCTAAATCACATTCTTTACTTTTATTTGGAGGGAAATATAAACATTTATTTCTTAGTTGCATGGACACAAATAAGTCACATTTAGTTAAAAAAATAATCAAAACCACTGTTAATTTAGTAATTTCATATGTAAAACTAGGCATACTGCTTAGCTTCGCTTAGGTTTAAGAAAAATATTTGCCTAAAATCTAATTATTTACATAAGCTGTGTAATAATTAAACAATACCAAACAATACCAACATCTTATATGTAAAATGAATATAATTATAAATAACCAAGAGATTTAATTATACGGAGTACAAACATTTTAATGTATGTTAATTACAAATATGAATGATTTATTAATTGGTTATTATATGGTTTGTGGAAGGGTCGAGGGTTTTAGTCTTTCAAATAACCCCCCCCCCAAAGAAAGTCTAAAGCCCCCCTTTGAAAATTTTAAGTGCGCCCCCCCCCCCCCCCTCCCGGGAGAAAAAATTCTGGCTGGAACACTGACAACATAGGTATGTTTATATAAAGAAATATGGCCTCTGGTCAGTTTTAAAGGTAATAGAGTAAGGCCATTTTTTTTGTGTGCCCCCCCCCCCCCCCTCGGTCAATGTACTATCCTAGGAAAAAATTTTTTTTAGATATATAGCTCATATAAGATTTTCACTCACTGTCAGTTTTTAGCCCTCGACAAGCATACAGTCAGACCAGCAAAGTTACAAATGTGCATAATTAGCCAGATATTCAGAGTTCAAGTTCCCTAAAACCTTGTTAAAATTGACCATCTGCTTTTCACATAAATTAAAATTACAAAGATTATATAGGGAATGATGACTGTTCAGCTTTGACCATGTTACCTATTTTTCTCAGACATTGTCATTGCGTAGATACAGAGAATTAGACTAGACTAGTAGAGATTACTAAGGACGGTGTAAACTTGACTGTAGACAATTTGGTTTCAGAGTATGTGCTTGTGTTTAATAAAATATTTGTGGCGTGAGTATGACATGAGCGTGACGGGACAATGTTACTGATGACGTAGGACGCAGGAGTGAAGACAGTTGTAGGAAAAGGACGTGTTTTGATATTGTATAAGACTAGTATTTGATAATAAAGTTAATTATATAATAATATTTATTTTTTCATGATAACCTCTTACGTTTTTAGCAAAGCTGCAAAATTGGCAAACAAAAAAAAAACTAGAAATATTGCCATATTTGAGAAACTTTGCAGTGTGGTAGATGAATCTGATTGTGAGATAAATGAAAATTTGAAAGAGGATTCTGGACATCTTGAACCGCTTGAAAAACAAACTGCGGCATAACTTTCCCTGAGCTGAAAGAAGAAAAATATGCAATGACATGTTATCCATTCTCTGTTTCCCATTCTCTGTTGCCAGAATTCCTGATGAATTACAAGATGAATTAGGGGTCGGCATGGTAGAGTCTGTAAAGCTCATGGTTGCTAAACCGAAAAGTCCCGAGTTCGAACCCTCGGGCAAATGAGGCTCGTTAGCTGGGGCAGCCACCCTCCTAGGAGAGACAACTCCAAAATCAAACAACTGCTGCCTTGTAGTTTGTTCTTGGTTGGACAAAGGCTATGGAAGCAAATCCAAAAAGAAAAGCAGGCTGAAATCGGAGTCAATGATCTCAATGGCGCATAACCAGTTGACAAGTATCCTTAATTGTGATGGAGGCGTGGTCGAGTCGGCAAAAGCTCATGGTTGATGAATTCGAAAAAGTCTCAGAGTTCAAACCCTCTGGCAGATAAGGCTCAATCCCTTCTAACACTAAAAATTAAGAACAAAGAAGATTAAGACAAGATGATTCCGCTTCATGTATTATATGATAAACGGCTTTAACAATTTTGGTGAAGTATGCACCATTTATACCCAAACGTGAAATTGATTGTCTTTCGAGTTTAAGTTCCTTTTGTGTCTTCTCCAATTCAAAACAAAGAAATAAATTCAATGCTGAGAATAACATGAGGTTGATGTTAACAAAAACTCAACCACAAATGTTGAGGCTAGTGATGGGCATTCAAGTTCATCCTATGCATTAAAACAGTTATCAAAAATAATTAATATGGAAAATACTAGTAAATCGTATTTTAGTGCTTATTAATTTCCTCACTAATTTCGACTTTTTAATTCTATGGGGGCCACGGGTCACTTACTTTTTATAAAAGGGGGTCGCCACTTGAAAAAGTTTGGGAACCACTGATTTAAATATTGAAAAGGAGATATTTCTACTTTATTGGAATCCTCTCCCCATACTTTCTGGTTGTCATAAACATACTATTACTATGTGAGCAAGATTATACATAAAAATGAATAACTATTGCTTATTAACTAGATAACTGAAACATTACTTTAATTTCAGTGCCAATAGGAGCACCTGAGAATGTTTTTGCCAAAGTCTTTAATGCTACAGCACTTATGGTCACTTGGAAGCCTGTACCTAATGACAGAGACAGTGTAAGGGGAAAAATAAAAGGATATAAGGTGAGATTACAACTTTCATCCAGCATCTGATACTAACAAAAACAGAACCTTTAACATCCCAAACTATTATTTTTTTTATGTCAATTGCTTTGTTTTGTATATAAATTATTAGAATACTTGACTGGGAATAAAAGAACTAAGTTGAAAAATGGAACTGTGACCTAGAGTGACAGCGTCCTTATATAAATTATACATTTTTAAAATGTGCTTGAGTTAGGTCAACGACTTGCAGATGCGACAAAAAGTTTATACTTGGTAAGGAGATAGCTCTGGTGAATAATACCAGATTCTCAGAAATGTCATATTTAATGTTTAATTAGAATTTTTAAAGGGACGCAACTGTGTCAGGAATTTAAACTTTTAATTTCCCTAGGTTTTTTTTATCAATAATAAAAATAAACAATAATAACCTGTGGATAAAAGAAAAAAAAATCCTTTTTAATTTATACGACACAATTTTCCAAAGTTGTGAAAATTAAACCATCTCTAATAATTGATATTTAAGAAGCTGACATGCAAAACCTGCACAGTCCACTTTTTGAAAAAAAAATAGCTCTTATTGCCTTCTTTGTAACGCTGCAATTCTTGTAGTGTACTAATTTTTGTTCAGAAAGGCATAGGCCTACATGAAAGCTGTAACCCTTATGTACATCTTCCGACATCAGGTGAAATTGATTCCCCACCATTATGATTAAACTAATATCTTTTGTGCTTACTGATTTCTACACCCCCCCCTTCCATATATTATACCCAACTCTCTCCCCTCCCTACTTGTAATCTTTATTTTCAGAAATGAAGCTTATAATTTGTGTATTCTGTGTTATATGCACTCATCTTTAGAGTGAAAGAAATAGCTATCAATATAAATCTACAACAGTCCTCATATGTCGAATGATGAGCATAGTAATGCACCAGCATAAGAATTTGTGGCAAGGATAATATACGCTATCAATATTACATATCTGAGTCATACCTTATACATATCGTACAAATGGAGTTTATCTGTATGTGGCGGACACATGTTTGTGGCTGACATGCATATATAATTAAAAAACTTGACTTGATCGCCATTGTATAATATTTTTAGTGTTAATTTTTGTACTAAAATCTTAACACAAAATATCGGGCAAAGCAGGGTACATGATGCTTACTGAGCACATAAGTCACATTCTTTTACAAATAACTTTTACCTCAAATGCCAGTGCAGGTCCTGGGTACAGCTAGTATGTGTATATATATATATATATATATATATATATATATATATATATATATATATATATATATACATATAGATATATATATATATATATATATATATATATATATATATATATATATATGTTACGGTCAAAGCCCGAAGTGCGGCCAAAGTGCATATTTTGTACATTGGCCGGCCAATGCGCGCACTGGCCAATGTTTTATCTATACTAAATTGTGATCGCGTTTTCGTTATTCTGGGTGAGGTTTCATTGTGAGTAACGTATTGTTTAGCTTTTATTTGTATAGCATTCTATATGCAATGCGACATGGACCAAAAGGGCCGTCCGATCATGAGACAGACATATCTGCCATGTCTGTCTCAAGTAGGGTTGCCAGGTGTCCAGTTTTGAACTGGACAGTCCAGTATTTGAGCAGACTGTCCAGGATAAAATAAATATAAATACTGGACAAGTATATGAAATAATACTCTGTTACCCCCCTTCTTCTGCTTTGCGGCATACCTGAGAAGGGAAGGATGGAAAGGTGTCCAGTATTTTCGGAAAAGGTATCTGGCAACCCTAGACTCAAGATAAAAATGTAAATCCATGTTAGTTTCCATATATGGGCTACAACTGTATGTGACAGCCTCCTCCATGATGACAATCATCAAAGAACAAAATCAATGACAGTCGGCGTCACCGACCACGTGCAACAAAACGGAACGTTCAAAAGACTTTGCCGCGTTCCTTGTAAGTTGAACAATAGTGTCCGAGCGTCTTGAGATGGCGTGGGCGTCAGAAACCAGATCTTGAGAACATTGAACAAGAAATGGGGGTTGCCATGAATGCAACGACTTCCTCAGCTAACACATCTGCTGCCGTGACGGCACGTCCAGACCAGTTGCGTGACAATACTGTGGCCAACAGATTCTGTATAATTTGTGAAAAAACATTGTAGTGCAGCTCATTCTTGTGGATCCTGTGGCAACGATGTCCATGGTATGTGTGGAATACCCAATGAAGTAGACGAAGGTTACGGAGGAAATATTACCTGCAGATTATGTGACAACAAACAAGACATCATGGAACACAGGTAAGCAGCTCATACTAGCTTGCAAACTCAAGGTGCTAAGATGCTTAAAACATCAAATACAAAATTTAAAGATGCTGATGTGGGTCACAATGTACGCATCCGTGTTCCAGATGTTGACAGAGGTCGCGGTGATCCCCGAAACCTTATTGCAGTTGTCATGAGTGTCGAGGGCGGTTTCTACAAATTAGGAACGGAACATTGTGTTCTAAAACAACTAAATGCTAGAAGTGAGTTTTCAATTCTTCACGAAAAACTGCTCTTATTGTCGTCAGTTGGCACTGAGGAAAAATAACTACCATCTCATCTTCACAATCATTTACTGGGGGCCAAGGCTACACTCGCTGCAATGGCACAACCAAGTACACAACAAATCACTGCAATTGTAAAAATAACAAGCTACTATGTAATTCTAAATGCCATAAAAGTTCAACTTGTTGTAACAAATGATATTGATTGATTGAGACTATAGTGCAATAAAATGTTTGAATGTTTCTGTCATTTACTTTAATTAATAATCAATAAAAACTTAATTTCATGATCCTTACGGCATAAGAAACCATCTGCTCATGATCTTCTAATTCGGACTTTGGTCGGTCATCCCTAGCCAGATGATCTTCTAATTAAGACT